ACACACACACACACACACACACACACACACACACCCCCTATCTATCTATATTATATATGGTTCCATAAGCTAAGGTTCACTTTATCAGATGCTATGAAGTGATAAAGTGAGCTTCACCTCATAAAAGCTTGTGCTATCTATCTAGCTGTTTGCCTGTCTCTCTATTCACACACACACGCTCTTTGATTAGACTATAAAGTGCAAATCTACCCTGCCTTCTACTTGAATTCAGTCTAACATAGCTAACTACATCACTTATATGTATATAAAAACAGCAAACAGCAATTCTGGGGAATTGCTGCAGTGTTTCAGTTGTTTGCTTCCACTCTTGCTTCAAAAAGTGTTACTTCTCCAATCAGTTGTGCAGGGCTGCTGATGAGAATTAGATGGGTGGAGAAGTGCCACTTTCTGAAGTAAAAACCAAAGCAAACACCTGAGTGGCTCATCATTAATTTAGCAACCCAAGGCAAATTAAATGGATTGTGAACAACATATATATAAATCCAGGTTCTGCTATAGTACCTCAGGGACAGTATGTGGTGCTGTGCTAGCAGAGTAGTGGTACAAAGCCCAATTTTCAACTTGTATTATTAGTTTCATATGAATGGAATGCCACTGACCTGAATTTCACTTCTCCTGTTTTATTCTATTAGGAGATCACATTCAGAAGTTTACCCTGAGTTTATTACAATCTTGGTTAGATATGACATGACAATACAGGCATAGGCAAAATCAGACATGGAGGCTACAGGTGGGAGGTTTACATAAAATAAAGGTATGGGATAGCTTGTCTTACATGATATGCAGTGTGATATATTTAAAAAAAAAAGAATTTGAGTTTTATCAGAGTGGCATGGAGTTGGCCACTGATCTATCTGTAATGGAGGCTACAACAAGAGAAATCAAACGGACAATAGTAATAGTCTTGCAAAAACTGTGATAAAGAACACTTGTGCAGAGACTAATGTGAAGGATGTAAAAGCACTAATCTAACGAACAAATGAATGATTAAGGCTTATGTTCAATTACCTCCACTGGCATGTGCCATTTTCAGGGCTTCAAGAGATGTTGCAGGTGTTATTTCTAGCTGGCAGACAATCACTTTGGCCTTACAAATGACATCAGCAGCTCTCTTCAGGTCTTCAGAATCCACAAGCAAGTTGGCTCCTGGGACTATGACAATAACATTCTCACCTAGATAGAAAGTTCTGTTTTTACAATATATTCTTCACTGAAGTAAACTAAGGTAAATAAAATTTTGACTCTTTGTCCTGCTACAGTGCATTTCAAATCAAACTTTAAGATTACATTGCTGGTGTTTTAATTATCCAGGGGTTACAGATGACTTCCCACCAAGACTTAATGGATGTTATTTTTGTAACTCTAACCATAAAGGTATATATCTATTTATGGAGAGGACTGTCATGGATGACTTTGCCCAAGTTGGATTTTGATGTTCTGACTGAACTAAAAAGCTGTACTAAACTGTATCAAACTGGATCTAGGGGGATCTGCTGTATCACCAAACTTCTAAGCATGTTGTCTGTGTTCTCCTGTGACATTACCTTCACACACAAAAAAAGATAAGCAGTTACACTGATGCACTGAGTTATGATGCCCAGAATGCATTCAGCACATTAACCATTAACTATATCTTCAGCTAGAATCACAGAATATGGGAGAGATCTCTAAAAATTATGAGGGCCCTGTGAATTTTAGGAAGAAAAGCAGCCTAACTCCAGTTAGAGATATACCACATTGCCACTACTCCTAAGAAAAATGAGAGCATGAAACTGGCTCTACTATCAAAAGCACTGCTTTGTAAAACAGCTAATGCCTGGCTCATAGGAGCTCTATCATATGCAACTGGTAGGGGGTGCATGTGCTCCCCCGATGAGGCTGGTGCCCCCACCCAATGGCTGACACTGATGCTGTTGGCAGGGCTGGTGCCCCCCCTGACAGGACCGCTGCCATTGGCAGATTCTGCGGGTGCCTCCCTCCCCAGAGTCAGGGGGTACCAGTCGCTCATGAGCTCTATACAGAATATCAGAGGGAGTCAAGGCAATGAATGGAAGATCTTTTGCTCTGAAGGCACAATGGCTCAAAATCTGCTGGTGCCCTTTATATCCTGCCTAGTTAACATGTACATTTGGGTGGGGAGGTTCGTTACCTAGGCTCTGGCTACTGTGTCTTTTCCTTAACAAAGCAAATTGCCTAGTTTGATTGCAGCTTTGATTTTGTTATTTCTTTTAAGATGCCTAAAGGCTCAGAGGCATGGGTGCCTACAAATTAAAATTTATTATTAATCACTAAAGCATTTGATTCAATAAATGAGTTGTTCTTTGAGCTCAAGGCTCTGCCCACCCTCTCTGAAGAGTCCTTTAAAGGCTGCCAATCACTGAAGGTCACTGGTTCAGTAAATAAGTGGTTATACCTTTAAAATATGCTTTAACATATGCTTTTTCAAAGTCTCTTGTCTAAAGCAACATGCAAAGAATGTCTCTCCCTGAAGATGTTTGGAAGGGAAAGCAGGACAATGGAAAGAATAATATAATGATCTCAGAGGGAGTGGCCCCTAGCTTTCCAAAGCAACTCTGCTGTCAATGGCTTGGTACAAAACAACTGCATTTGAAAAGCAAAACCTCAGCATTTTGGCCAACACCTTGTTATTGAACAGAAAGTGATGGACATCTTGGATGAAGAAAACCTCTCAAACAAATACTAACCATGGATATCTGGATTCTGCTGAAGGAAGTATTCAAAGACAAGCTGTGCCTATTTTGACCAGCAGGCATTCTGAACGCTTACATGGTGAGAAAGCTAAAGCCAGTGAACTGCAGGGAACACAAGGGTGGGGGCTCTCTGCCCCAATTCTCTGCCACCCACAAACCCAAACTCTGGCACCTGGAGTAGGCACATGATCTTGCAAATTATCAGCAGTGAAACTGTTCATAGCATTGATATCACAACCATTGTTAGACTGGAATACATGTCCCACTGAGATAATGAAGCAGTTTCAAGATTTATTTCCAGATACAAGGTGGACAATATGGTTAAGTACAGGCAGTCAAAAAGCCTGAGGCTAAACTGAGTCAGTTTTTGCAGGTTCATCTAAGCGGCGTAGATTGAACCAATAACCAAATGAATAGACATTCACTTTTGATTCAGGAAATCAAATGCCTGCAGTGGCTCAAGCCAGGGGGCACTAGAGCACAGTTCTCTGGCACGTACCTAGCATGGGCTGTGCATTTGCTTCCTCTTCCTGCTGCTTCGGAGATCTCTGGAATCTGCAGTCCACAACCACAGCAGCAGGACTCTGTTGGGGTTGTTCATCACTTTCTCTCCTTACTTCTAGATGCCTGTGTGATTTGTAGTCCACAGTCGCAGCTAGCACTAAGTAAGCCACCAGGCAGGGCAGCTCTGTACTCAGGGGAAGCAGAAGTTCCACCTCCCTGGCCCCTCCCAAGCAAACCCTGGTTGGGGGTGGGGGGAGGGGTGGCAATGAGCCAGCCAGTGAGCCAGCTTTCATTGCTCCAGTGAGGCAGCAGAGGGGTGGGGCCAGCTCTGCTCTCTAGAGCAGACAGCACAGCCCACCAGGGCTGTATAGTAAGCTGGGACGCTT